ACACCTTGCCAATATATTTGTGTGTAATTGGATGGGAAATTTTGTCATTCAGTTACTCACTATTAGCCCGATGTATGAATTTCTATATCATATCAGATATAGTGCTTAGTAACAGTATTGTAGCATTTATAGATACAGGCGGTGTGGACATTGGAATCAATACTACGTGGTTATATATATATATATATATATATATATATATATATATATATATATACAGGGTGAGATGTGTAAATTGTCGCCATTTTATATTTTTAATTTCGTGCATGCGCGTTTTCTGTTTTTGATTTTGTCAGTTGGGCACCATCTGTGAGAAAAAGAGCACCATGATGCATTTCCCTTCGCCCAAAATTTGGAAACGGCATGCTGTACTGCTTAACATTCACGCCGGAGTCTCCAATACGAACATTTAAGAGTGTTTTCGTGTCTATATGAGGACAGTGCGGTTGGATGAGTCTAATGGTGATTACGAAGGTACAACAATTCGGAAAACTCACTTGTCGTTCTGATAAGAAAAGAACTCCCGAATTCGTTGGTTTACGCCTCAGACTCAACGCGGAGACCTACATCAAGTGCCTTTAGGAGGTATTGCTACCCTGGGTCAAGATGGTGGCTGCTGAAAGAATCTATGTCTGGCAACAGGACTCTGCACCATGGCACACAAGTAGTAGACACAGTTATTGTTGCCAGACAATTTCTGCGACCGCATCGCCCCTTACATCTGGCCACTTAACTCCTCAGACTGCAACCTCCCTTGGTTATTATGTGTGAGGCGCAGGTGAGCGAGAGACTAACAAAACTCCTTGTAACACCAAAGAGGAACTGGAAGCAATGATTATGGCAGCATTCACCAACATAAACACCGAAAGCGTCCACAAGAGTTGCAGGAGATTCCAAAGTCGTCACCGTAGTTGAAGTCAATTGCGATTTTATTGAATAAATGCATTCTTTAGTATTTCGAGATATTTTTGTACAATTTTGGTAAATAAATCTGGTAAAATGAGATGTCAGTGTTATTTTCATATTTGCGTAATCTAGACAATTTATCCATCGCATCTGTATATATATCCTCACACTTGCTCCATATGTAGCCTCCTTTGTAAATCACTAGCGTGTCTTAAATGCCACTTAAGATTATCGCACAAAATTTCATAACTGAATCAATAAGCTGTCAGATCCTCATATGTCGAAACCGACAGGAGAGTCCATTATATATATATATATATATATATATATATATATATATTCATGAATTATTCATACAAAAAAGCAAATATAGAGGTTAATGATTTAAATGACGAGAATACATTCTCGCAAACAATATAAATAAGATACATCAACCCCGAACCTGTATATGAATGATATGATCCCTGTTTATAAATTCCAGTTGCATAAGGTCTGTTTAATTTTTTACAAGCTTTCGTCTGTTCCTACAGACATCCTCAGGTATGGAAATAGATTTGTTCTTGTTTTTACTTCTCGGTAATAAGAGGACAACGAAAATAGAGATGTAATCCGAAAAAATGCTATGAGAAATGTGTTATTGTTTTGGAACCTGAGGATGTCTGTAGGAACAGACGAAAGCTTGTAAAAAAAAAATTAAAAAGACCTTATGCAACTGGAATTTACAAACAGGGATCATATCATTCATATACAGGTTCAGGGTTGATGTATCTTATTGATATTGTCGGCGAAGATGTATTCTCGCCATTTAACCTCTATATTTGTTTTTTTGTATGAATGATTCATGAATTTATAAATAAATAATATATTGCAATATATATATTAAATATATATATATATATATATATATATATATATATATATATATGGGGATATAAACCAAATAATTAGATAATAGCAACTGTATATACGTGTTAGCGTGCATACACAGATAAACGTATAAATATTTACTTAATTTAATATAAGGTGAAAACAAAACAGTTCAATGTGGTTAGACAGACCTAAGAAGTATATATTAATAAATATACATATACCTACGTTTGTCATGCAACTTAAAGTTTCATGGTTTTACCAACTCATCAGGCACGGACTTATATATATTTACTTGCAGAAATGACAGCGTCTTTGCGAGTGAAGTAATGAATATATAATGATACAAAAGATCAATTTTGAAGAGGGCATCGCTGTCTTAGAGATCCGCTAAAGCTCTGAATTAAGTAAAACTTATTTTTCTAGGGCTGAAAAGAGAAAATAGTTCTTTAAAAAAGTCATTCAAATCCTGAACCGGTAACAATCAATTTAGACACAATCAATTAACTCTTTTTTTATTAATTCGATACCCGTTGTGTTAAAGTTCTTTATTTGTTCCTCTTTCCTTGTTATGATTCTTGTAGCTAAACCCTCCATCCCACCCATTTCGAAATTTCCCGTAAAGAGAAATTAAAAAAAAAAAATGAAGTAACAGATATGATTGGCGGTGTTGGACTGAAAACGATTGCAATGCACGTGTTTCGACTAATCCCTACTTTTAACACCTACACGCCCTTCAGTAAAAACGTCGTGTTTACCTAAATGTTCCCCACTCCAGCTATCTCTTCCGCACGTTGGTTTCTCATTAATTAACACCCGCCCAACGAAGATCATTATCGAAATACTCCTGATTTTATAATCTGAAAAATTCATTCGTTCATTTCCAGTTCATTATTCCCATACCGAATTCGGGATTGGAAACCTTACTTGAATTAAAATCGCCTCTCTTTTGTTTTTGTTGGTAATGCTGCTCTTTCCTTGTTTGGTTAATATGTGTATTTCGTTTATAATAAATCCTTATATAACTAGATGAGTAGCTTCTAAAAAATTTATGAGGTGTGTATGAACATCTCTGGACATGTGAGCATGCACGTATGTGTACGTATATTTGTTTAACACTATCCATTACACCACTCGCACACACATACACACATCCTCCAAACTTATATATCTAAATATGTACTTATATAAGCATATTTTTTATATATATATATATATATATATATATATATATATATATATAAGGTAAAAGACAATAGGAAAACTGTATTATTATCCGACGCATTTCGTTCAATGTGGACTTTTCAAGGCAAAAACAAAATGAATTTATTGAAAACAAAGTAACTATTAACAACAAGCAAAATGTCTTTAGCAACTAGAAGAATTTAGAAAACGCGAGTGTATTCATATTGTCAACTGAAAATTACGTCAAGTACTATCATGTGTAGAAATATTGTTTTTATTGTGTTGACGGATTCAACCATTTTCTTTTTGATTTCTTGATACAGTTGTGTACGCTGCCTTGGGATAGTATTAATTCTCTTAGGAAAGGTGACATTGGGAAATGCCTGGGCGTAGATTAATATTTGGATAATATTCAGTGGCGGCACTCTCAAGGATTATCCTTCTGAGTGAGTTACTTTCTTTTTTTATGAGTGTAGCATTTTTAAAATCAAAATTGTGGTTGAATGTATTTCTATGTATGACTAGTTCATTGGTTAAGTTGTTTTTTGTGAGGTCTCTTTTGTGCTCATAAATGCGTTTTTTAAATTTTCTGCTTGTTTCTCCAATATATTGGGAGGAACAGTTTTGGCAATTTATTTTATAAATGCCTGCTTCAGAAATATGATTGCTTTTAGAGTTTGATGATCTGATTATATCCATAAAGGTTTATATCTATAACGGTTTTGGAAGTGTTTGCGATTATTTTAAGATTATTTAGATGGGATAGGTTGTTCTAGATAGTGAATGTGATGGAGTTGGTTGGTAGTATTATGCATCTGTTTTCATGTAATTTATTATTACGGATTATGTTATTATTTTTGTTTTGGTTGTATATTTTGTATGCCTTTCTTCTTGCGTTGTGGATTAAATGATACCACAGCACAATTAGCATTACCGTATCAGTCCACAATTATACTTACACCCCCCCCAGAAAAACCAATACCACCGCATAAGTACTAATAAGCATTATAAATTGTAGTTTCTACCATTTATATATGTGCAATCGCCAAAAGAAAGCAAATAACCGCCTTTAAAATAATAACAAAACAGCATTAAAAAAATAAATTAAAAATAATAGCAATTTTACCTACCATAGTCTTACACAGACCCCATAAAAAAAACGGATAGGAGATGTGTGAACGCGTGTGCATACGTACATACGTTTGTGCGAGAAAACATTACTCGGCGAACAAAATAGACGAACGGTCTGCGCGATGACACCGCAACTGACGAAAGATGTCCGCTACACAATCCAACATTTAATACAATGATCAATTGCGTTCGCAACTACACGCGGATACGTATATATGCCCAGTCCCACACTGCCCATATATGTTTATGTTTGTGTGAGCTCCTGTGAGCGAGCGTGCGTGTATGTATGTCTGCGTACGTCAATAAGTGAACGTGCGTGTATGTATGTTTGCGTACGTATGACTGGCGTTCCGACGACAATTCTTCCTCCCACTACCATAAAATATTTGGATAAAAACTTCCGTTTCGCATTTCGTCCTCTCTTTCATCGTTGAGGACGAAACGCGTTGGTGAATAAAAGTTTTCCTTTCTTTCTGCCTCTATTCATATTGCCATTTTACAGATATATTTTATTTATCTTAGAATGTTTACACGCAATCATATTTACATAAATATATTTTTTGCTATTCAAAGAGAAAGAGGAGAAGGGTGTCCGTGTGTTGAGTGGTTCTTGGCCTGATGAAGAAACGCAACAAAAAAAGACTGATATTTGCTCATATTATCGGAAGTGGGTTACATCGAAAACTTTTCGACGACCTCTAGTAGGTTCGATTCTTGTTGCTTTTGATATCGTCATTTTTTTTTTTTTTTTTTTTTTTGTAGTTTGCTAAATGCTTCAAATCTTGTTCTAGTTTTCTTTTTCTCTTTTGTTATAGTTTTTTGTTTTGTTTTTTAGCATCTAATAGGATCGGGTCGGAATATCGTTTGCGCGATCCTATATTTTTTAATCTTATACACTTCCTTGTGGTCAGATCATCCACTAACAACTTTCCCAGACAGTTTATATTGCATCTCTCTCTCTCTCTCTCTCTCTCTCTCTCTCTCTCTCTCTCTCTCTCTCTCTCTCAGTATATCCATCTTTCTTTCTTTCTAGTTTCTGATTATTGTCATATACACTATCTGTTGTGTCCACACGTGCGAACAGATGGCATATAGTATACGCAAAACCGCCTTCAATTCAAATATTTTCGCTTGAATTTCAAACGAGTATTTGGTTTCCAAATAAATATTTTAAACAAGGAGACAAAAGAAAAGAAGAAACTAAATATTCTAAACAATATCGACATTACAGAAAAATGGACTTATATATATATATATATATATATATATATATATATATATATATATATATATATAATTATTAATTAAAAAATATGATTCCAACGCTACATAACAGTTCTCATGTTTCAATTTTTTTTTTTTTTAACTTATTCCTGAAATTTACGTGTCTTATAAGCATATTCATTATTGAAATTAAAATTACATTTAATTGTAATTTTAATTTCAATAATGAATATGCTTATAAAAACACGTAAATTTCAGAATAAAAGATATTCAAAAAAAAAAAATTCGCCTGAAGATGGAACAGAGCTTAGTACTTTAATTCAATTTAATTCAAATAATTGAAGTCTTCGGCTCTTGTTTTGAAACATGAGACCTCTTATGTAGCGTTGGAATCATATTTTAAATAAATAATTATATTTATGCTCTACTTTTGTATCGAACACTATTTTTTAAAATAATAACAAAAATACTAAAGAACTTTGGATTTCTACCTAATGAGTTCTTTCCTATTTTCTATATATTTTTACACACACATCACACACACACACATATATATATATATATATATATATATAATCCAAACAGAACGAAACCAATGTAACTATATATGCTAATATTACGGTATCACGCCGCTGTTACAATATTTTTGCTCTGTTTATTTTCCCTTTAGATTTTGTTCTGTTTTTAAACTTGAAGTTTCGTTATTTTGCTCTGTTGGGTGGGCCTAGAATATGCTGAATGCATCCTCGACGGAGGAGTAAAACTTCTACAAAAGGGGCCACTCAGTATTTATCTTTGTAGATAAAATTTCTGTGACTGAGAAAATAAGATAAATACCTTTCTATTTCAAATAGACGGGCCAGAACGATTATTCTTTTCGGAGAAAAGTACACCTGGGACATCTTTATTACCGCCAATTAACCTTTTAATAAACGTTCTGGGAATACACCCTAGGCTGCGAACATTCTGAAACAAAACGTTTCATTACTGAAAATTATATAAAATTATTTTTAAAAATCAAGTAATCCCTTATATTCCAACCACCCCGTCTGTTTGAATCTCAGGTGTATCTATACCCAAAATAAGTAAATGCTTATCGACTCAAATATAAACGACTAATATTTAACTATTCCCGAACCAAGTAAATGTGTATATACTCCAATATAAACGGCCAATGTTTACCTATCCCCGAACCAAGTAATACTAAATAGATTCGAATATCTTCTTTTATGCGCCGTGTCCATTCAAGACGTGGGCGTTCGTAGCTCTCCAAAACTTCCTACCATTTGTCGCTCTAAATAATTTTTTTTTCTGCTTAATATCCCTCCCTGTTTACGTTCTTGTTAAGTAGATTAATCCCGTTTATTATTATTATTTCCCGTTTGCCTTCAATATGTCCTGTGAGTGTCTAATTCTCCAAGCTCTCTTTCCACATTATCTGTCAAAAAGATTTCAACAGTCCTTTTCTGATCCTATGTACAGGCATTCCTTTGGTTTCCACTTTTCTTAAAAATACCGCGTTTTTTTTTTTTTAGGTTCCATCTATTATATTCTCAGCTTCCTTCTGTAGAGCCACATCTCTACTGCCTCAAGTCGCTTTTTCATCTGTGAAGAAATTATCCAGCATTCATTGCCATATAGGAGGAGTTATATTATATAGCAGTTCAGGGTTCTTCTTTGTTTCAAACAAAATTTTCCACTCTTAAATTCGGATTTCTCTTTCATTTTCTGTCACACTTCTCAGATAGTTAAATTACAGAACTTATTCGATTTCTTTAATTCGTAGCTCACATCATGGGCTGTTCCACTTGTTTATGACCACATATTGTCTTCATATAATTGATGCTTAGTCCTTTCTTTCCACCTTTCTTTACGAGCTTGTCAAGGAGTTCCCGCTGTTTTCTTTATGTGTTTGCTATCGACACAGTGTCAATTTCGTATATGTTAAGATTTCTGGCGTTTACACATTTCTTTCCGGGTCCCGCCCAGGGACCTTAGGTTAGAAATGGCGTCATGACACTTTCCACTGACAAAAAAAGAAAAAAAAGAATTAAATTACATAGATAAAGCCCTTCGTAAGGTGTGGGCTGTACTTGTCAGAACAATTTTTTGTATCTCCTTGAGGCATGGACTTCCAGGAATCCCTTCAATTAGTCTACTGCAATCTTTTCCAACCAGTCCTAGGGCTCCAACTACAACAGGGATTGTTGATGTTCCCATATGCCACATTTTCGAGATTTCTATTTCAAGGTCCTTGTACTTTGACAACTTTTTGAATATCTTCAAAGATACATTGCAGTCAGCAGGGACTGCCATATCAATAAGGAGGCATCGTTTTTGTTTGTGGTCTTTAATAACAATATCTGGCCGGTTGGCCTTGATTGTTCTGTCAGTGTGTATTGTGTAGTTATTATTATTATTATTATTATTATTATTATTATTATGTGGTTTCAGTCCGTTTGTACTTATATATGTATATATGCACACACACACATACATACATACATACATACATACACACATGCACACACACACACATAACTGGCGTGTATGCTCATATAATTTGATTCAATCAGTAGGCCTATTTTGACAAAGTAATAATTTATGCATAAAAACACAAACATAAATATATATATATATATATATATATATATATATATATATATATATATATATATATATATATATAATATATGATGAAAATTATCAGCTTTCTTGGTAAGACCAAGAACTTTACAGCACTCCTTCGTGTATATATATATATATATATATATATAGAGAGAGAGAGAGAGAGAGAGACAGAGACAGAAAGTACTGAACAGATAGCGAATTGGCTATTGCTGGACGGAATCGCATCGACTATGATATATTGTTGACGTCAGTAACATTGCGACAGAAGCAAATTGCCAATCGAGTCCAATGCATTTCTTCCAGTTTCGACTTTAATTCTCCAGACTTAGGCGTGTCTCTAAGCTGTTCGCAGAGCTGTGAACCTTCTTTTCGGCTATCTTCTCTCTTCTTTTTTCTTACCGGATTCGAATTCTACTCTTCTTTATCTCTCAACTGACACAACAACAGCCAAGTTGCCGCTATCTGCAATTTTTCCCAACAAGTTTCTTCACTTCCATCATACATGTCAGTGCCTCTAGCTGTGTGTGTGTGTGTGTATATGTGTGTGTGTGTGTGTGTGTGTGTGTGTGTGTGTGTGTGTGTGTGTGTGTGGAGCAGAATTTATGAATAAAAGCACACAGTAGCCCCCCTTATATCCGCAAGGTATAGGTTGCAAGTCCCCAATCAGAAGCGGATAGTAAAGAACCATATTTTTTCTTTCCTATAAATACTTATGATTAATTTTTAAGTTATAAGTTCGGCACAATACAAGATTAGCAAAACTAACTAATAATAAAACAGAACAGTTGCTGTAATTGAAGTTTTTTGACGTATGGCCGATTTTTTTTTCTTACCGTATATAGCAACATTAGCATAAGTCTTTTTTTTTTTAATTTCCTTATTAAGTTTAAATCATTCACCTTCTCACTTAAAGAAAGCCCTTTACGTCTTCTCTTTGGCATGTCCAAGTATCCAGCATCAATATTTTTGCGCTTTTAGTCCATGATTATGAAAAACGTGTAATATTGCTGTCACATCTAGCCAATCTTCACTTTCCAGCTTCCATTAGTTCAGACATTCTCAGTAAGGACCCGCCAGTCCACGTACATTGATTCGACCCATCTTCATTCCCTTCTTATTCCACTGGTAAGTCCCACTCAGACAACTTCTCACCCAGAACTGTTGCAATGTAAAACGGATACCCGAGGGGATACCTCCCTTATGACTACAATCTTAATCTTTTCAAATCGATTGTCAACCATTGTCTATCCTACATATGATCATAATATGTAACCCTCGCCCCCCCCCTATACGCCCTTACAACATCGGCTTACGGCCACCTCACGTTGAAACACCGGCTCCCGTATGGTCACCAAAGTTGAGCAACGTCGATCCTGGTCAGTACCTAGATGGGTGATTGCTTGGGAATTCCAGGTGGTGTAAGTTTGAATGTACGTGTGGTGCAATGGATAACGGCTTGGAATTGTTAATCAGAGAACCAGGTTCCAATTCCCGTTGGGATTGTTATATTCACTTAAGCGCAAATATCCTGGGGAAAGGTATGAATCCACCGCTTCTCCCCACAGCAATGGGTTAATTGTTAAGATTTGTATCACTAAAACCATTATTATCTTCCCTTCCTCAAAAAAGCATTCTTGCAATCTAAAAATATTTTACAACATCGCCATTCAGTAACCCTCTACCTTGAGTGGCACTTAGGCCTTGTATTGGGTGAATAATAGTAACAAAAAAGAAGAAAATACATGAATTTTTTATTTCTGGGATTGATCGCGAGATACTGAAAATGAAGATAATAGGTCGTGGGGGTGGGGGGCAGTGTAATTGTAAAATCGTAGTGATCGAGAAAGCATCTTCTCTGGAGGCAGTCTGTTCCACAAAGTAAGAGTTCTGGGGTTGAATCTTGAGTGAAACTTCCTCTTTATCAGTGGAATATAAAAGGTATGTGGATATGTCGACCCTGTGTTCGTGTCATTGTGGCTTCCAGCTGTGAAGGTCTGTACTGGTGAAACTAAGAAAATTTATTTGGTTAGGTTAAGAATTTTTCAAGACGAACAGTGTGCTTCGTAAAGCTCTTGGAACTAAAGAAATGTTTTTGTCTTTGATTTTTGTTTGTTTTTTGTTGTTTTCGTTTGTTAGTTTTTCTTTTCTTTTTCATAAATTTGTTAAATGAGTGATCTACTATTGCAGTGATCAATAAATCTTTAGCTGGATACTGTTTTGTGCTGAATTTTGTTCTGAACTTTTCACTATGAAATGTTCGCTCTATGAGATTAATTGAGAAGTGTTGGGTTAAAAGCATTGACAAGGAAGGAGATTATGTTGAAAAATAAGTAGTTGTTGCATAAAATAAATGCATACTTTTTTATTATCAATCTACTGACTTATTGAAGTACCTGCATAAAACTAAAGTTACTATTACCTTTCGTCTATGTTAATAAGAATGTTTCCTTATATTCTTTTATATGAAGTTTTATTATTATATGATTGCATAAGAATATCATTAAGCAGTCTTCTGTTTACAAAAAAAAATTGAAACTTTTTCGGAAAGTCTTACTCAGGTTTAATTCCAAATTATTTTTTTGTTTCTCTCTTCTTTTTTAAGGATTTTTTTTTTAAATTTAATCTAGCATTTGTTCTGGTTTTGTTTTTGATGATGAGCTTTCGAAGAAGCAAACAACAGATTCAAAACTGTTAAGTGTTTTCTTTCGACCCAATCTTAATCATAAAAAGACGACGGAAATTGAACAAGGCGAACATTTTGATTTCTTCTTTGAATCCTTTCTCGTTCCATTGTCAGTTTGATGAGTGAACAAGTGCGAAATTATCTCCACAAAACTGATTTTGCGTACGCCTCGCAATTAATATTGATTACTGACAACTATTTATTTTATTCACTAACGAAGGTAATTGCAGATGGTTAGTTAAAGAAAAAAAGGAATCCAAAAATATATCTCGTTTATATTTTTAGTAAAATGTATGAAGTATCAAAATTAAAAGAATGAATGAATTAAAAACGAATACAGTTTGTCGAAGAAAAGTATTAGATAAAATTCGACAAAAGAGAACAATGTGTGTGTGTGCGTTTTTTTTTTTTTTTTAATTATTTCACACCGAAGAAGGTGATAATGATACTAAGACGCAAGGGATTACTGAGAGTGAAAGAAAATGAGATGACGTTAGTGAGGAAAAAGAACCATAAAAGAACAGGGTTCAAGAAGACAAAAGATGGCGATTGACGTGGTATTTAATGTTTTGTAGATCGTTAGTTTCAGGGAAGCATAAACCAAAATAGAGTTTCCCGAGCAAGAAATACAAGAAAAGAAATGAGAACTTATTAGAATAGAACTTACATTTAGCAGTTTCACTAGTAAACGATGATAACAAGTTGCTAATCTAGTAATACGCTTAAATTCATGCGATTGAAACAATTGCTATGAAAATATTTATTAAAAAAGACAGCAACTTCAACTTCCAAAAATTTAAACGCAGGGAAAATCGTTATGTTCTATTTTCTTAATACCTGTTATTTTATTGTTCTCTCTCCTTAATTAAGATTTTCTTTTTCTCATATTTTTTTCACACATTGCATCTTAGGGACTTTACTGCCTTGCTTGGGGTGAAATGATTAAAAAATATTTTGAAGATTATTACTATCGAGACATTAAATGTTAGAGGACTTATGACAAATAAAAGCAGGAATTATTGGCGCGGGACGTTGATAGATGTATTTTGTCTCAAAGAAACCAAAATCAAAGAAGAACTTGATATTAATATAGTTTTTCCTTCGACGTGTGCAGTTAGACGTCGCGGTGAGACACAGTCGTCTGTCAGCGGCAAGGCGAGTGACCAGGAGAAGAGATATCTCGTGGCCTCTGAGAGTATCTGCTACTGAGTCGCTTCAGCGTCTGCTTGGTCTACTTCTCGCTCTCCAGCCAGAGTACCTGAGGGTGTATGCTTGTAGAGCTGGTTGGTTGATAGACATACGAGTGAGGTGTCCGAACCACTTGATCCTCTGTCGTTCGATGTGTTGTATGATTGGTATTGCTCCTACCATATCTCTTATTGCCTCATTCCTGATCTTGTCTCGCCTGGTCTTGTTCACTGCTTTCCTCGGACATTTCATCTCACAAGTGATCAGTTTCCTCGCAAGGGTTTTTGTTCGGGGCCATGTCTGGCACTGGTATGCCAGCATTGGTAGGAAAATGGAATTGATGAGACTTGCCTTGGTGCTCATGGAAATGAGCGACAGTACCAAAATGGAAACGTAAAATTCATAGACATTAGAAGAACAAACATCTACTACATTAAATAACAACATTAGAATAAATATCAATAGAATTCCACTATTATCTATGGAGTATAAAAGACCTGCAGCAGTTTTTTGAGTTAGAACGGGGAAGATTGAAGAGTAGTGAATTGTGTTATTTACAAAGAATCATTTTGGGAAGGGTTTCTTTTTCAGGCTAATAACTATTCAACACACGGACATCCTTCTCTAAATCATCATCGTTTGAATAACAAACAACATATTGTTGCACATATGACTATGAACTTTTTAATACAAAAAGAATAATCGCACATATATATATTCGAAATCTCCTGCAGCTCTTCTGGACTGTCTCCTTGCTTAAGTTGGTAAATGCTGCCATAATCCTTGCCTTCAGTTCATCTTTGGTGTTACAAGGAGTTTTGTTGGTCAACAGCGCCCCATACATAATAATCAAGGAGGTGCAATTTGGGGACTTAGGAGGCCAGATGTAAGTGGTGATGAGGTCGCAGAAATTGTCTGACAGCCATGGCTTGTGTAGCATGGTGCAGAGTCCTGTTGCCAGTCATAGTGTCTTCCAGTAGCCACCCTCTTGATCAAGGGCAGTATTACCTCCTCAAGACACTTGATGTAGACCTCTGTGTTGAATCTGAGGCCCGCAGCAACATATCTAGGAGTTCTTTTCTTATTGAAACGATCAAAGTAAGTTTTATGAACTGCCATACCTTCGTAATCACCATTAGACTCACCCAACTCTTTCCACATCCTCTGCACTGTTTTCAGATTGACACACAAACACTCTGAAATGTTCGTATTGGAGCTTCCGACGCGAATGTAAAGCAGTTTGTCGTTTCCAAATTTCAGGAGGAGTGAATTGCGTCATGGTACTCTTCTTGTCACAGACGATGTCCAACTGACCCCATTATACTATGCAGTCGACAAAATAAAAAAAAACAACGCATGCACAAAATTAAAAATATAAAATGGCGACAATTTACCTCTCACCCCTCTCTCTCTCTCTCTCTCTCTCTCTATATATATATATATATATATATATATATATATATATATATATATATATATATATATATATATATATATATATATATATATATATATATATATATATATATGTGTGTGTGTGTGTGTGTGTGAAAAGTGTATATAAATATAAATAAATATATATATATGTATAATTATTTATATATTATATGCGCATACTTATTAGAAAGCGCTCAATATCAGAGATAGAGCTAACATATTTGGTTGGATAGATGTGAGTTTGTGAGCCTGGGTTTCACGCTTTTAGCGATCGTCAGCTGACGATCGCTAAAGCGTGAAACCCAGGGTCACAAACTCACATCTATCCAAAAAAATATATATATATATATATATATATATGCGTTTGTGTGTGTGTGTGTAAAGGTAAAAGACAATAGTAAAACTGTATTATTACCCGCCGTGTTTCGTCCAATGTAGACACTTTCAATGCAAAAACGAAATGAATTTATTGAAAACAAAGTAACTATTAACAACAAACAAAATGCCCTTAATTTTGAAAACGCTATTGTATTCATATTGTCAACTAAAAATAAAGTCAAGTACTTTCACGTGTAGAATATTGTTTCTATTGTTGTTTTGACGGATTCAACTATTTTCTTTTGATTTCTTGATATAGTTGTGTACGTTGGCTCTGAAGAGTAGTAATTCTGTTAGGAAAGGTGATATTGGGAAAAATTCTAGTTGCTAAAGGCATGTTGTTTGTTGTTAATAGTTTTCAATGAATTCATTTCATTTTTTACCTTGAAAAGGTCCATAATGGACGAAACGCGTCGGCTAATAATACAGTTTTCGTATTGTCTTTTACCTTTATATATATTGTCTTTTTCTACACGTTAACTCTGAGAAATTTTTCATATATATATATATATATATATATATATATATATATATATATAAAAAGAATCCGTGGATAAGTAATCCAAGAGAGCTCAATATAAATTTTTATTACAGAGCATATAAGTGTATTACAATCAATGAAACCCAATCAAATTACCCCCTATTTATTGGATTTCTCTACTACGTCCTTCATTTACCATTATGGATAAATTTCACCCGGACTACTCCTTAAAGAATATCCCATATCCTTCCCTGC